CTGCTGAACTCATAAACTACAAGATGCCATGAAACGTGCTGAGTGAATGAAGCGAGATACAAAAGGTCACATATTGGATGACCCCATTTACATGAAATCTCCTGAATAGGCAAATCTATAAAAATACAATGGAGATCACGGTTGCCAGGGGTTAGGAGGATTAGAGAAGAATGAGGAGCGACTGCTTACTGAGTATGGGGTTTCTTTTGGGGTGAAAATGTTCTGGAATTAGTGGTGTTACACTGCATTGTGAATATATTAAGAGCCACTGAATTATACAATTTAAATTGGTAAAAATGATGAATTTTATGTTATGTACATTTTAGTTCAGTAAAAATAGAGAGCCAGGCCAGCCCATGCCCTGGTGATTTTCTTTTTAAAGATTTTTTTTTATTATTATTTTACTTATTATTACTTTTCAGTTTGACCAGAGAGAGAGAAACAGAAAATGAGAAAGCAAGCTGGCCAGGTCTGGGACTCGAACCACAGTCGGCTATGTGGTTAAGGAGATAGATCCCACATAGCTGTGCATGCAGTTTGAGTCCCAGACCTAGCAGCTTATAAAATATACCAGGCACATATGTGGCGAATTAAAAAAAAGAAAAAAGCCTATAGAGGGTATGCCATATAAACTTAGTAAGAGGTTGTATTGTGATTTAAGTGGCTGAATCCCACATGGCAGACTTCACAGTTTAAGTTCTGGACCCAGCAGCTTAAAAAACATGCTGGTGGGACCAGCAAGTGGCATGGTGGTTAAGGCACTGGGCTCCCACGTGCCCAACTATAGTTCAAGTCCTGGACCCAGTGGCTTGAAACTCACACCAGGCACATGTGCGTGCGTGTTCCAGATCCCAAGAGGAGAATGGAGAAGGGACTGCAGCATGGCCATCCCACCGGGGGTGATTTCTCACTTTCTGTCTCTCTAGTAAGCATACACACACTATAGCAAAACTCTCTCTTAAAAAAGAAAAAGCAGGGAACCAGCAGTTAGCGTAATGGCTATGTCGCTGGACTCCCACGTAGTTGACCGCGGTTCGTGTCCCGGACCTGGTGGCTTAAAACTCACGCCGGGTGCGTGTGCGTGCGTGCCCAACATCCCAAGAGGAGAATGGAGGAGAAGGGACTGCGGCGTGACCATACCCCCTGGGGGGTGATTTCTCGCTTTCTGTCTCTGTCTCTCTCTCTGTCTGTCTGGCAAGCGCATGCGCCCTATAGCGAAAAACCTCTCCAAAAAAAAAAAAAAGAAAAAGAAAAAACACATTGGGCCTGTGTGTATGTGTGCCTAAAATCCTGAGAGGAAAATGGAGGAGAAAGGTTTTCGACTTGGCCATAGCCCCTGGGTGGGGGGGGAGTGCTTTTCTCACTGTCTGTGTGTCTCTCTCCCTTTCTAATTCTCTCTCTCCTCAACAAGTATACACACCCCATAGCAAACTTGGGGAAAATGTGGGTAGGGGACGTAGACTTCATCTATTATGACAAATGGGAGAAAAAAATCTCATTTGAAGGTTCTGAGGCAGGACAGAAGGGTGCCTAAGAGACAAGTGAGTGGCAGGGTCTAGAAGCTGAGGAGAGAAGCCCAGGCTGAACAAGCATATCTTCGAGTAGTGGGTACCCTGGTGGCTCTGAGACCATGGCAGTGGCTGGGGCTGCCCGAGTGATAATGATGAGAGGAATGGTGCCTAGACCTAAGCACCAGGAAATCAGGTCCTACTGGATGGACTGGGGTCAGATAAAAGAAAGAAACCAGAAAGGAAGGTTGCAACTCCAGGATGTGAGTTGTCAGTGATGGCAAGGGACAAACACTTCAAGGACGTTAGTGGTCAGCAGTTTTATGAGTCTGAAAGGTCTCTGAAAGTGAGAAGAGAATTCGAAAGGGTACGATAGGAATTGTGGAGACAGAGCTCTAGGGGACATGACAGTCTGGAGGAATGGTAGGGGCTGGAGCCAGGCTGGAGCAGGTGGAGGGAGGGCAAACCCTCTGGGAACTTGTCTGCATGAGAGAAGGGCGAGAAGGTGGAACCAGAAGAGAAGGTGAAGAGGTTTATACTAGGGAGCTGGGGATGCAGGAGGAGAGGCAGACGCCACAGTGCCAGGTCTCTTAGGACACAAGAAACGAGGCAGTCAGCCAGGCTTGGAGATTTGAGGACAAAACAATTTTGGATGCACCATCTGATGTCTTGCTTTCTTTGTGACAGATCTTGGAGGACGGGAAAGTGGAGAACGTTTGAGCGGCAGTCACTGGGGGAACACACTTATGAGAAAAAAAGATGGCCAGGGGGCCGGCAGGTGGCATGGTGGTTAAGGACATTGGGTTTCCACATGGCCAACTGCAGTTTAAGTCCCAGACCTGGCGGCTTGCTTTTTTACTTTCCCTCTTGCTCTCTCACTCTATCCCTCTCTGGTCAAAAATAAATAAATAAAACTAAATAAAATAAATCTTTAAAAACAAAAAAAGATGGCCAGGCTCTGCTGTGGGCCTACAGAAGTCAGTGGCTATGAGAGTACCTGTACCAATCTGCCCTGAGTTCCACGTATCTGGCGGTTCTCAGCAGTGAAGGGCAGATGCAGAGAAGCCCAGAGAGCACAGTAGGAAAACAAGCAAGGCAGTTTGAGATGTTGGCAGGAGAGTGCTGGAAGTAAGGGCTCTAAGCTAGATGTGGGATGGTGAAGGAGGGTGCAGATAGATAAAAAGGTGGGGGCCAGGGGCCTGCGGGGCCCAGGACTTTGTGGGGCAGGTATCATAGAGTGGAAGAGTGGGAGACGAGAGAAGAGATGGAGGGCAGAAAGAGGGACAACTGATGGGGTGGCTTTGGAGGTGACACATTTTGGATTCTTTTTTTTTTTTTAAGAGGTTTTTGCTATAGGGCGTGTACGGGCGCCCATTCTTGGGTACGCACGCACATGCACCCAGTGTGAGTTTAAGCCACCAGGTCCAGGACTCGAACCGCAGTCGACTACATGGGAGTTCAGTGACATAGCCATTACACTAACTGCTGGTCCCACACATTTTGGATTCTAACAAGGACCAGGATGAGGATGTGGGAGAAAGGAATGGAAGTAAATAGTGGAGGAGGTCAAAAAGCTAAGCCATTCGGGCATTGATGGAGCTGTTGGCACAGACTTTCAGATACCCGTGATATCAGCAGGACCTAGAGCTGAGAGAAAGAGACCGGGAGCTAGAGCCCAAGTGTTCAGTGACTGAAGAGAGAGTGCGGAGGTCATGGATGACAACAGAATGGAGGGAGGTTGAGACTCAGTGGAGGCAGAGGATCATCCAGGAGGGCAGAGGAGGGCCGGTCAGGAAGCCAGTGTACACAGAGGAAGACTGACGACCCCAGTGGGCCTCCCGAAGCTCCCTTGCCTACAGGGAGAGGGGTCCAGGGGACAGAGCTAGACTTGGATAGAATGAGATCTGGTGACTACTGAGTAGTCAGGGAGGCTAAAAACGGCAGTCCTAAGCTAGAGGGGACTGCAGATAGATCAGAGGGAAGAAGTCGGGGAGAGAAAGTCCAACGCATTCAGACGGGGAAGTAGCAGAGTTAAGAAGGAAACAGTGGGGCTTGTATCTTAGAGACGTCAGAGGAAAGAGGATTATTTGTGCTTTCTCAGTCGGCTTCCTAGTCCAAGCCCCCCTTCAATAACGGGCTTCTTCTACCTGTAACTTTCTCTCACACCAGCATTGAGTCCATCGTCTAGTTCTAACCTATTCCCACAGCCGTCATTCTCACAATGCCTATTAAATTGCCCCTGCTCCTCCCTGCCCAAACTCCACGCCTTTGTCCATGCTGCATCCCTCACTTAGAAGCTCTCCACAGAATGTTCTCCCACCATCCCACCATTGCTCTGGACTCCCACTAGTCTTTTCTCCTCTGCCAGAAACTCTTAGACTCCTTCCTCGATTCTCTCAGCCAGGACTTGACTCACCTTGAGGCATTGTATGGGAATCTTTAAAAAGTTCATGCAAAATGTATATTATAGAAAAAACTGTACATGTGGGCCCGGCAGGTGACGTGGTAGTTAAGGCACTGGACACTACCACATAGCTGACCATGGTTCGAGTCCTGGACCTGGTAGCTTGCTTTCTCACTTTCCCTTTCTCTCTCTGTGTCTCTCTCTGTTCAAATTGAAATAAATGAATTCATTTTAAAGAATTAAACAAGTCTTTTAAAAAGGTTTAAAAAAAAGGAAAAAACTGTACATGGATTTCAAAAAGTTTTAAACAAAAAATAACTCATACTTTGATTCTGTTTTCCCATGATTTTTTTGAAGTCATCTGGTATTTCACCCTTGGCATATCCAGTTGGTCCCAGGCTGCTCTCGGTCCCATAAATGGCGCTGGGACTGGGTCCTCAGGGCATTGCCAGGACAATCAATTAGAAATCCCGTCTTACACCAGAATGGGCTTTAACTCCCCAGCCCAATACAAGGGCCCTCCCACCTGTGAGCAGCATGAGCCAGGGCAGCAGGAGGAGGGCGGCAGTGTGGAGGGGCGTGTGGACTCGCAGCAGGGCTGACAGGGCAGGTCCCAGCAGCACAGAGACGTGGAGCAGGACGCCGGTGGCATGAAGCAGCAGGCACAGGAAAGGCCGGTAGTTGTGGAAGCCCACGCAGCGGCCCAGCAGATGGCAGTGGTGGTCCCGACGCAGGATGCAGACACGGCAGGCAGAGCAATGCCCACTGCGTGGTGGCACCTGACTTTGGCACTGGTAGCAGTAACTGCAGGAGAAGAACCAGAGGGTCAGTCCCCCAGCAGTTTGAGTTCCCCATATCATGCCCATGCCCAGGGTTAGCCCGAGTCCCTCCTGGGGAAGGAAAAACAGCTACTCATCCTCACTAAGCCTCAGTTTCTTCACAGGAAAATGCAAGTTGCGTAAGACCTCCTGGGTCTTTGCAGTTTTAGTACTGCAGGTCTGACATCCCCAGTCCTAAGCCCTTTCTCTAGACTCTGATGTCCACCAGCAAACTTCTCACTTCCTCATGGGTGCTACCTTTGTCCTCATCGCCACGAGCCCTCCTCCGGATTACTGCAATAGCCTTGTGCTTGGTTTCCCTGATTCCACTCCTGGCCCCTCCTAGTGTAGTCTCATTCTAGCAGTCTGATCCTTTTAAGCCTTCTCTGCTCAAAACCCTTCAGTGCTCTCCATTCCATTTCTAGTGAAGTGTAGCCTTCATTGTCCTACCAGGTCCTTACAGTGGTAACTCGCTCCCCATCTTTCACTCCACTCCAGCTACACTGGCCTTGCTGCTATTGGAACGATGGCCTCAGAGCCTTTGTGTCATCTATACCCACTGCATGCAACACTTAGCCTTCAGATTTCCACCTGGCTAATTCCCTCGCCTCCTCCAAATGTTTGCTCAAATGCCTTGTTCCCAGTGAGATCCACCTTGACCACCTATTTATTTATTTAAATTTTTGCTATAGGGAGTGTACAATTGCCAGAGAGAGACAGAGATAGGAGGAAAGTGAGAAAACACGTCCCAGGGAGATGGCCATGCTGCGAGCCTTTCTCCTCTATTCTCCTCCTAGGATTTCAGGCACACCTCCACAAGTGTCAAGTATGGTTTTTTCAAGCCATCAGGTCCTGGACACAAACCACACTGTCAATTATCATGCAGCTGACTGGCTCCTATTTTTTTTTTAATTTAATTTTTAATTATAAATTGACACATTATAGTTGTATATATTTGTGGGATACAAAGTGATATGATTTTTTAAACACATGGAAAATTAAATCAAGCTAATTAGTGTACGCATCACCTCAAATACTTTTTTTTCGTGGTGATAACTGACCTGTTTGAAACAGACTTGCACTCCCTTCACCCTCCTCTACTTTTTATTTTATTTTATTTATTATTTTTTTTGGAGAGATTTTCACTACAGGGCGCGTGCGCTCGCCAGACAGACAGAGAGAGACATAGAGACAGAAAGCGAGAAATCACCCTCCAGGGGGGATGGTCACACCGCAATCCCTTCTCCTCCATTCTCCTCTCGGGATCTTGGGCACGCAGGCACACGCGCCCGGCGTGTTTTAAGCCACTGGGTCCGGGACGCGAACCATGGTCGACTACGTGGGAGTCCAGCGACATAGCCATTACGCTAACTGCTGGTTCCCACCCTCCTCTACTTTTTGATTCCATACTACTATCATCTTCTAACACTCTGTATAATTTGCATATTTATTATGCCTTTAGTTTATTATCTGCCCCCTCTCTCACAAGGGGCCAGCTAGAGGAAGACAACAACTTCAGGTAAGGAATCTGTTTTATCATAACCCGCATGCCTGGAACAGTACTTTGCACATAGTAAGTGCTCAAAAAATGTTGTAACTGCTCATTCTGGTTCTTCCACCCCAGGTTTTAAAGGACTTCTCTGGCTTTAAACCCAGATCCTAAAGTAAATCTAACCTAACATCCCAGGTCCTGAGGCCCCTCCCTCTGTTAAGGTTCCCTCTTCTCCCCGCCAGATCCCGCGCCCCACTCACGCCCAGCCCTGGCCCAGACCGCTGCCAGCCAGCATCACGCCTCGGATGCTGGGATCCGAGCGCAGGAAGAGCCCCACGTTGCCCAGCAGGTTGAGTAGCTGGAAGGCAGCCAGCGCCAGCTGTAAGGCCCGGGCCACGGGTCCCAGCGGAGGCGGCCCGGGACCCAGTACGAGCACGTAAGCCAGCTCCAGGCCCACAGCCATGACCCACAGCGCCATGAGCACGAGAGGCAGCCGCGCAGGCGACCCCTCCGCTCTCCCAGCCCCCCACTCACACTCACACTCACATGTGCTGGAGCAGGTGTTCAGGCCCCCTGCTGCTGCGAGGGGGTGCCCCCCCACCCACACACC